CTATGAGAAACAGAGGCATATGTTTATATATGATGGGTTCCTCAGGAGGTCTCTGGCCTCGACCCAACTCACTTCTCAAAATGTGACAAAATGAATGAAGATGGGAATTTCAGGTCAAGTCAACAAGAATTTTTTTGTACCTCTTTGTGTGTGTGTGTATATATATATATATATATATATATATATATATATGTGAAAATATATAGAAAATAGGAAGGAACTGGTTAGGTAAATAATCCAAAGTCCCTTAGTATTTTAGTTATTATTTTTAAAAAATAGTGCTCGATACAAAAGTAGAGCATAAATATAATTATTTATTTAAAAATATGATTCCAAATCGCTACATAAGAGGTCTCATGTTTCAAAACAAGAGCCGAAAACTTCAATATAATCCTTTAAATTAAATTGAGTTGAAAGTAAAATAAAACAAATAAATAAATCTCCATAGACAAGCAAACTAGACGATGGCCAATACACCCCCACCTTTCCCCGACTTGACACCTTGAAAGTATCTCTATACCGCTACTTATTATAAACATTATTATAGATAATTCACCATAGCTGTTACCATGGGGGTTTTTTGATTTCAATTTTAAAACAAGTAAATTTCAGATATACGTTATTCCAACAAAAATTTCGCTTGAAGATGGAACGGAGCCCATTTTACTTTCAACTCAATTTAATTTAAAGGATTATATTGAAGTTTTCGGCTCTTGTTTTGAAACATGAGACCTCTTATGTATTTTTAAATAAATAATTATATATATATATAAATATATATATATATATACACACACACACACACATATTCTACCTCGAGTGACTCCCAGGCTTTGTACAGGGTGAACCTCACTGTAAAATGAAACAAAAAATGTTATGATGAGAAAACAATATACAGTGGAATGTCAGTTCATGAACTTAATTCATTCCTGAAGAGCATTTATACCGAAAACATTTTCCCTTTAGGAATCAATGTAAAATGAATTAATTAATTCCTGAAGCCAGATGATTGCTTATTTAAATTTTTACAGCAGGACTTTGTGTACGAGTTCATACACAAAACCAATGAAAATCAGTAAATCTAACAGAGAGAAAGATAAACTATATACTAAATAGATAAAATATAGACAAAAACTTACCGTATTTGCCAGCCTATTGGACACACCCAAGTATCAAACGCACCCAGATTTTGGTATGGGATATTGAAAGAAAAAAAAAATCAAGACATCACAAACAAAAATATTCAAAATTATAACCTTACCTTGTATAAAAGAGGTATTGTTGTCTAAATACACAATTATATATACCATATTTGACGGCTTATTGGACATACCCACGCATTTTGGCATGGAATATTGCGGAAAAAAATGCACACATCATAACCAAAAAAGTTAAAATTGTAACCTTACCTTTACAGCATTAGCACAAATTATACGACTGGATTTTTTTTTTTTTTTTTTTTTGATAGAAGTGAGGTATGGTTTAATTTTTTTGGAAAGGAAGAATTTTAGTACATTTCATCATGCATTTATTGAAAATTATTTTAGTTGTTTGTCAGGGAGTGATATCTGTACATACATTAAATTCATAATAGCTACAAATAAATTTACTCCTATCAGTGAACACTGGTACATATGGTAATAGGTAAAAAAAAACCCCCAAAATATGGTACTTGTTGGTAAATGGTGTCCCATAATGTATATGCAGAAAAGCAAATTCTAATACCTGTATATCAACAAAAAAGCACAGAAAGCAAGCAGCAATATACCAGTCAAAGAAAATATTTCTGTAAAATCTAGTATTTCTATGAAACAAGCAGCAAAACATTGTGCAATTCCATAAATTTCTTTTTCCTGGGTGAATTTTTCACGGGTATTTTTTATTGATATCATGTTTGTTCACTTCAAGGAATCCTAGTTTCAGAGCTAAGCACTGATTCCTGGTAAACCCCACTTTTTTCAAAGTTATAATGTCCCTCTCATACATCATACTGTGATGGATGCAGGGTAATTTTTTGGTGTGTCTTTTTGAAATTTACTAGGCCAGTGTCTCACTAAAAATTTGTCCATTAAGATTTGTTTTTGACTACATTTTGAAAATGTTTCTAAAGTGAGACATAGTATCGTCATTGAAAATATTTACACTGTGGCTTGCTAATGCTTTATCAAAGCTACACTTTTGGGGTTCTTGATAAGATCCAGAGACGGATATGCAATATAATTGGCCCTGATCTGGCATCTCATCTGCAGTCACTCTCTCACAGACATGCCGTCGCCTCTCTCTGTCTTTTTTACAAATACTTTCATGGTAATTGTTCCGATGAGCTGCTTTTGCTGGTTCCCAGACTTTGCAAATTCAAGCGCCCTACGAGGCTGGCATCCCGCTCTCACCCTTTCACTGTTGAAACTATTAAATGTAGCCATCTCTTCTACTCCAATAGCTTCATATCTCGCACCTCTTGCCTGTGGAACTCCCTTCCCTATTCCTGTTTCCATGATAGCTATAATCTGCAACTATTCAAATGTAATGTCAATCGACATCTCCAGTTGCCTTGATCTATCCACTATCCTTCTCCTCATCCTTTCCTCTATCATTCCTACCTGCTCTCGCTCCAAATCCTCTATAACCCCTTGTGTGCTAGTGGCTTCCCGCTTTGCTAGGGGTGAGAGAAGGCATGATGAATTTGAACAGGGGTGTGTATGGAGCAAAAGCAATGTCACAACTAATGCTCTCTAGCTGAAACTCCTGACTTGTCACCCTTTATTATTACCAGCTTCCATGTTTTTCACTTGAGACACCATTCATCACCTGAGATGATTTCTGTTTGGAAAATTTGTTCTTGAACCGATTTGTTTGTGATGAGAGGTGGTTGTAACCCAGGGTTCCACTGTGATCAGTTTGTGTAAAATCAGATAAATATGGTAGGTGGGACAGAACAGACTAACCAAGTTCCAAATTTTTTTCCTGTGTTCTTCTATGTAGCGTGGCTCTGTCATGGAGGAGAACAACATTTTTCTTACTGATGAATGCAATTTGCTTTTTGATCAAACCTTTATGGACATGTTGCAGCTGCTGAACGTATAAATGTGCATTTAATGTTTCATTGTGTTTTATGGATTCTATCTGACTAATACTCTGATTATCACATCACAACATTACTTTTCTTCCATGGAGCTCAGCTTTTCGGGGTCAGTCATGGAGATTTATCTTTCTCAATGTTCTGATGAACCTTGTCGTATAGAACCTATTTTTCATCATCTGTTATGATATACAGGGTGCGATGGGTAAATTATTGCCATTTTATATTTTTAATTTTGCACATGTGCGTGGTTTGTTTTTGATTTTGTCAACTGCACAGTATAGTAAGGTCAGTTGGGCACCATCTGTGAGAAAAAGTGCACCATGATGCAATTCACTCCACCTGAAATTTGGAATTGGCATAATGTATTGTATTGCTTAGCATTCATGCCAGAAGCTCCAATTCAGACATTTCAGAATGATTGGGTGTCAGTCTGAGGACAATGCAGAGGATTTGGAAAGAGTTGGATGAGTCTAATGGTGATTATGAAGGTGTTTGGAGTGATCACTAGTGATGGCAACATTATACTCTTATGCATCTTCTCACAGGGCCTTAGACTCAAAACCTTGTGTCTGGCAACAGGACTCTGCACCATGCTACACAAGCAGGTGAACCCAGTGATGGCTGGAAGACAATTTCTGCGATAACATCACCCCTTACATCTGGTCACCTAACTCCCCAGACTGCAACTCCCTTGATTATTATGTGTGGAGTGCAGTTGAACGAGAGACCAACAAAACTCCTTGTAAAACCAAAGATTAACTGAAGGCAAGGGTTATAGCAGCATTCACCAACTTAAACTAGAAGACCGCCCAGAAGTGTTGCAGGAGATCCTGAAGTCGTCTGGAGGGCGTGGTTGAAATCAATGACGGTTTTATTGAATAAATTTACTCTTTAGCATTTCAAGATATTTTTGTGTAAATTTGGTAAATATACCTGTTAAAAATGAGATGTCAGTGTTATTTTCATTTTTGCGTAATTTAGGAGACAATTTATCCATTGCACCCTGAATTCCCCAAAATGAAAAGTACTTATGGCTCAACTCAGTACACAAAAAACAAATAAACACACACACACACACACACACACACACACACACACACACACACACACACACACACAAACCCACAAAAGGGTGTTGAAATGTTAACAGCTTTACTCACTTCCCAAAATTATGACCAAAGGACTAAGTATAAATTTTTTTTTTCTGAAGTGTGTATTAGGCTGAGAATTTAGCATTAGGTACTCATTTTCAAGCACACCTGTCTACTAGGTCAGCTAACCCATCAGTCCTACCCACTAGGCTGCAAACTGGTATCAGGCCATGGACCCTTTGGTACTGGGCTTTGGTACCTGGCTGTGGAGTATTTCAGACTAGGTCATGGAGTCTTTGGTGTTGTTCCATAGACCTTTTGGTACCAGGCTGTGGACCCTTTGGTACTGGGCTGTGGACCCTTTGGTACCGGGCTGTGGAGTATTTCAGACTGGGCAATGGTGTCTATGGTATTGGGCCATAGACCTTTTGGTACCAGGCTGTGGACCCTTTGGTACCGGGCTGTGGAGTATTTCAGATTGGACCATGGAGTCTTTGGTATTGGGCTATGGAACTTTTGGTATCAGGCCATGGAGTACCAGGCTGTGGAGTATTTCAGACTGGGCCATGGTGTCAGACCGTAGACCCTTTTCATACCGGATGGTGGATCCTTTCGTACCAGGCTGGGGACTATATGGTACCAGGCTATAGACCTTTTTGTACTGGGCTGTGGAGTTTTTGGAACAGGACTGCACAGAAAGAATAAAAACTTTTTTTTCTAGTTTTAATGTCTTGTTTATTGTGGTTTGTTAGGCATATATTTAAAAACTCATGTAATAATGTTCAAACCTTTCACTGTCTTATGCTAGACAATTTTTGTCTCCAGAA